CACGGAGGCAGTTAAGGCAAATATAATAAAATAAAAAATTTTCTAGAACCCGTAAGAAACCAAAAAAAACCTTTAACCCGAGATTACTTGTCAAAAGGCCATTAAGACATTGCTCGCCTTTTCTTTTGTTCTTTTGCGTTGTCTTTGTGTGAGTTATCATCAAATTATCACTTTCATCGGGTGAGATTAAAGACAAAGATGATATCACAATAAAAAGAACTTAAAGTATTTTTTCCGCAAAATAAACCAACGAACATTTCAACACATTCTCTTGCAACATTATCCAAATATCATAGAATTGTTTACGCGATTTCGGCGCAGGAGTGTACCATAAATAAAATTTAGTCATTGAATCATTTAATTTATGTAGTTTAAACGTAGTCGATTGAGAATGTGCACTATATCGTAAATGATCGTTATTATGGTTTGTTTAATAAGAAGTATTTACTTCGACTGGCCCATGTATTTACATTACAGATAATTTAGAGGTTAAAACGTAAACTAACTTTCTTAATAGTCATTCAAAATCACTAATGGTTGGAAAAGGATGTTCCAAATGAGTAGATAAATGAACTAAAGGATAACGTATTTGAGATGAATTTTTGCTAGACATATTTTAAACTTATCCAAGGTCCTTAATCCGTAACTTGATGAAAACTGCACGCTAAAACTCTGACAGACCGGTCACTTAGTACGGCCACTTTTGGAGTGGAGCTCTTATGCTTCATTCTTTTTAAAGTCACATGTAGGATTGCACACTGTTCTAACCTCATTATGTTCTAAAGTCTCACTCATACTACCCACTGACGGTAGGTACAGTCAAAAGCACGTCAAACTTGACACTTGTACTTTAGACTGTTCTAATCATAAGCGGCATAGAGTTGGATTTAAGTCTTAAGTATCAAGCTTGACGTGCTCTTGACCCTGTACCAACCTAACACTGTTTTCCAGACAGCAGCAGAGTAGATAAATGTCTACGTATAGATAAAATTGAGTGGTTAAAATCATCAAAAATTACTTTTTTCGGAATTTTCCCGAAAAAATTCCGATTCCGAATTTCCGGAAATACTGCATATTACATTTTACAAAAAACTGTTTTATTAGATCAAATGGTTTAGGTATTTACTGCTAAATACCGGTCTTACAAAACATACACGATGCACCTGAGGATATTGTCTAAAGAATGTGCAAATTCATTACACAATACGATGTATTTACTCGGTCATATAAAATCCCAAAAACACGATAAAATAAAAGTCTAAGATGAATTATTTAAGAATAAAATATCTGATTTTCTCATCATTTTTATATGTAAATCTCTTTAAATACTACACAGAGAACAAAATTTTGGTTTTCTACTGAAGTCCTATAGTTATAAAATTCACATTTATCCCAATACTTGAAAATTGCCCAGTGATCTAACGCCACACCGCGCCGCCCGTTGCCCGTCAGTAGCCTTGGGGCGCTTGTCAACGTCGGATCTGTGTTAAATTTTATCGGTTTGTTCTTATTTCATTCATATTAATTTTAAGCGCGCAGACTGTGTGACGCAAGTGTGGCCCTCTACACCTCACCTAAAATCTAGACTCACGTTGGTCTTTCTAGGTAAAAAAATGCAATAGATCTAACCTTTCACCAAAATAAATATTTTTTATGAAGTTACTACCTATAGCTGATATTCTAGATATTTTTATATTCACCCATAACATACAAACTCTAATAGTTCTTCAATACATTGGTGGTCTCCTAGGTCTTCTACATTGGTGAAAATATGCAAAGTCACGGCAAGCTGGGAACAGTTTACAAGCACTACTTTTGAAAACGTAGGAACTTCCGAAATGGTAAAAAGTTCTACGCAATGAAATTGAATAGACACGACAAATGAAATATATGATTACATGTAGAATTTTACCATACATTTTTTAGAACAATTTAGAGTGTGTTATCAAGGAAAATTAATATATTTTTAAACTGTTGTATATAATCGTATAAAAATGTTTAAACTTTCCTTAGTGACATACAATTCTTTTAAATATATGATAGAGCAAGTCATTAAAGAAAATTAATATATTTTAAATTATTGTATATACAAAAAAAACAAATTACTATCATAATTCGGAACATCATTTTTGATAACGATTGATTGTAGTTTCATGTTAGGGTTTGGCATGATAGCATGTTAAACAAGCTTCCAGCTTACGGAATTCCTGCTGGCTTTTGCACATGGATAGGTGATTTTCTGAAGGATAGGTTAATCCGTGTAGTTGTAGATGGTTACTCGTCTGCTTGTCGTGGGATAAATGCCGTGTACCTCAGGGATCTGTCCTCTCCGCCACTCTATTCTTGCTGCATATCAACGATCTGCTGCTGGTGCCCGGTATCTTTGGGTACGCAGACAACAACACAGTGGTAAAGAGTTATGTGCCAGACGTCTGAGACAACAGCGAAGAGATCCGGTGTAAGCAAGAGGCGATGGGCATCTCTCCAATCGGAAGCCGCTTTCAGACTCAGGTCCAACCACCTGAGTCTGAAAGCGGCTTCCGATTGGGGAGATGCTAATAGGGTCAGGTTTAATGCGGCTAAAACACAGGCGTGTCTTTTTACATCAAAATGGAGTCCCCTACATCTTACTCCGACTTTCCGAGATGTATACGTGCCGATAAGGAACCACCTTGAGCTACTTGGTCTGGACTTATCATCCAACCTTCACTTTGGGCGATATACCAAGTGCTTGTCAAAAAATGCTGCCAGAAAACTAGGCATACTTTACAAGGTCAGGCGGTACTTCACACCAAGCGTAAGTCTATTGTATATAAAAAAAAGAAATAAATTAGAAACAAATTCTGGACTATTAATATAATTTCAACTTTACCCTCTTGGCATATCGCTGAGAGTTCAGTACCATGAGATGCCTACTTAGTTCTTGCAGCGGTATAAGGTTTACTTTCGTTTCTTGTAACAAAAAAAAATGCTTACGATCAATAGAAAATCAAAATTTATTAAAATTAAATAAAACAAGACTTAATAATGATAAGAAAGAGCTCCATAGATAATATTGCGACTTACAAGTGCGACTATAATATAATATTTTTGCACTCCAAAGTAGCCAAATAAGGCATTTGGCAGACATGACTATAACAACGTACAAAGACTTATAATTAAAATAAAATTAAATATCGGACTGGGCTCAAGTTTGGTGAACTCCGCGAAGTTTTGGGACACGTGATACGTAAAGTAATTCTACAGTATTTATTGTTCTGTGATTATAAAATTCTTTAAAATGTATGATTAGTAGCAGTAGAGCTCCTGGGGAAGGAGTTCGTTTAGGATAGTACTGCCACTTTACCTATTTCTGCCGCCAAGCAGTATTATCAGCATTGTTGTGTTTCGGTTTTTGGGTGCTGGTGAAATTACAGGCACATGAGACTTGTCAACATAAGTCTCAGTTTGACTGGTGCAGTTGCAGTGCCCCTGAGAGCTTTGCGATTTAAAGCTCTGAAAGACACTGCAGCTGTTATAGACAGGCGTGTAGTTTACCAACAGGCGCATGACTTGTTGGATATATAATATCCAGTGACGGGAAAAAATGATTTTACGTGTTACAAATATAATTTAGAGCACGTCATTAAGAAAATATTTTTTTTAATAACAATAAATGCTTTATCCATATACATTTAGGTAAGTTGCATGTCAGAAAATACACCATGAACTACTCAATTTAGTAGGTCTCTTTTTGTTCTAAATCGCGTATTCATAATTATGAAACTTTCGCACTTATAAAAAGGTATTGGTATATTTTTTAGTAGATACATATAGTGACAATAATCTCTTAAAAGGGGTAAGTTAGGGTATTTAAGTATTCGAATTAGGTATTAAAGTTTGTAAGGAAACTTTGTTATGTGTGGTGTGATTTACTTCGGACTTCGTTTGGATATTTTACATATAAAAGAAATAATTACGAGATTCAGGGTTTTTCAAAACAACCCCTACATAGACGTGGCGACATATTTAAAAAAACCTTTTCTATGGAACTCTTTCAAACATAGTATTCCTTACACTTGCACACTTGAAGATTTTCATTTGTGTTTTCATAGTATATAATGATGTAAATTTGCGTGGACGTAGTCGCAGGCAACAGTTAGTATAATATAGAAATTAATGTGATGATTTGACAAGCCATTGTTTGGGAAATAAAAGAAAATGGTGTTTTAGTAAAGAGTAAGTGTAGAAAAGTGCATTGAACCCATACATTCTTTGGTAGACGGATAACCGCTGACACCCTTTGACTACCATTTTAATTATAAACTGCCTATGTGGCCGAACGGTCGCCATACTGGACTGCCTTGCAGAGGTCTCGGGTTCGATTCCTGGGCCGAGAGAAATATTTGTATGGTCTACATATATTTCTTTCGTGAGTTTGGGTGTAATTTGTGGTTGTCTATGTGTGTGTCTATGGCAGCCGCGATACAGGGTGGGTGGGATCCCAGCAGGTGCGTTATAAAAAAAAGTATATGTCCAATTTAAGAGCTACATGTGTTACACGTAACACTCTTCTGAGCCTGTGCCAATTGCTACAGGCAAACTTTTACGTCCAAAATGGTAAACAAATCTCTTTGTTATTATTTCGTGATAACTTGCATTTGTTAGTTGAGTGGATTATAGAAGGGAAAAGAAATAGAGGAAGAGCAAGAATGGCGCATAGTGAACAGATAAAGAAGAAGAGGCTACACCGACAAGAGCCTGGCTTTTAAATAGGATGATGATGATGAACTTGCATTTGAAGATCATGAAACGCTCTGTTAGTGCAAAATCCATTTTATCATTGGTAAAAATATGAATTATCATTAAATTTTTTTCATAATGAAATTGCGACGGTATAATTACTATTTTTTGTCATGGTGTCTATTGTTTATATTTATTTCCTTTTCGATATTTTTTAAATATAGACTATAGGTAAAGTTATCCGTCAAAGGCATGATGTCAGACTTGACAGTACTTACATCTCTGAACTGCGCGACACCGGCCTCGCCGAGCTCATACATGGAGACGTAGGCAGCCTCCGACTGGACGAAGAGCTGGCACAGCACCATCTCCTCGCTCCTGAACATCGTACCCATGATCGGACTTCTGGATATGAAAGAAAACGTTGAGTTACTGTATCATCGTCAGACAAGCAACCCAAAAAATATTTTTCAAAGTGATTAAAACAAGTAGTGAAATATGGTCACCTCCTGCTATGATATTTAGTGTCCTATAATACCCTACTTTTATAGAAGATTCGAGCCGACACTATAAAATATAATTAGTTTTTAAAAATAATTGCGAAAAACATGATTTTTCCGTTTTAATTTTATTGAATCTCACGATGTGTTACTGACAATACAAAGGCCGAATGCAAATAAAAATTTGCGACGAACGAACGGGTTGAAAGGGACGCGAACCAGCGACGGCGCCAATACCGGGACTATCGCTTTTCCAACTGAGCTACGGAACGAGTCAACAGACTAATTTGTCTATGTGCTTGCTGCAGATATTTGTTTTGGTTTTAACAACTTTTCGTCGAAATGCTACCTGTGACAAATTTATGAAAACTTAGTTTAAAAAGCCCTGGTATGGCGAGGTCGCTGGTTCGAATCCAGGCGGATTAAACGAATTTTTCTTTTGATCCGATTAACGATGATTTTTAAATGTTTTTTTTTTTTGTGATAAAACACTTTTACTAATAATGTATTTTATTAGTAAAAGTGTTCGTTGGTAGGAAAGCATTTTTAGCAACTCATCACATCATCATTCTTAACTTTAATAGAAGAATACATGTATGATTCTCGTAAAGTCTATTTTCTCAGTGCATTACACAATGCACGTCTGCGTTTCGACTCGGTTTTTAGCACTTGTTTTATAGTCGTCCAACCAAAACACAATGTCAAGGTGTCTTTGAAGTTGGCACCAAATTTTAAAGTGCTTTTTCTGGACATTAAAACTAAAAATATTTGTTTTACGACTCTTGCAAATAGGTACACTTTGAAAAATGATATTTTGTCATACTTTAAATTCACACAGAACTTTCCAAGATTTCACTAATTTTCAAAAGCTGTAACAGTAGTTGTACAGTCGATGCCCGAAGATACCTGACCCCCTAATCGTCTATTTGGTTTTGAGTCGATCAGTCTGGAAAAAGGTGTTATTCAAACTTAACCTTAGGGACTCTTTCATTTACTCACACGGAATCGCCTGACTGAGCCGGTCAGAAAAAAAGATCGAAAAAGCCGTCGCGTGTTTCGAAACGCACAACGTCATTTTCGCTCTTATTACATGGACATAAAGATTTTTCTGACCGGCATACAACAACGTGCCTAAGTGTCAAGTTCAGCCATCTATGTTTTCTAAACAAATTAATTCGTCAATTTAAACAATGTTATAATAAAAATACGAATAAACTTACTTATCTGAAACCTACTCATCGCTGTTAACGCAATGTTGCAAGCTTTTTTAACATAACATCTATGGGCTTAAACGACTTTGTAAGCTTCAAACTGAAAAGCGTTTAAGTGAAAAGTCCTTTTACAAGCACGCTTATTAAAAAAGTAGGAAAATTTTTACGTACAACAATCGCATTACTAAAATTGTGTAATTTTCACACAACTTCAATTACTGTTCTTTTGTTTGGGTATTCCATTAGTTTGCATCATTTTGTTCGCTACACATGGTGGCTAATTTGTGTATATTTATGCACATGAATAATTCTAATATGTAGACAGTCGGTCTTATTTAAAAGGAATAAGTATATTTCAACACAAGTATCACGTCAAATTTAAAATCTAATAATTTATGTCAAAATTGAATCTAAAATAATGACCCTTAAAACTACTATTGTACCTTTATTTATATAATATTAAGTGACGGGCCGAACAAGTCGTGCGCCTGATGGTAAGCCACACACCTCTTCATAACAGTTGCAGTGCCACTCCATAGCTGTAAATCGCAAAGGTCTGAGGGGCACTGGCACTGCGCCTGTCACCCTGAGACATAAGTTGACAAGTTCCATGTGCCAGTAATTTCACCAGCACCCTTACCCTTCTAAACTGGAACACAGTAAGGCTGACATTACTGCTTGGCAGCAGAAATGGGTAAGGTAAGGTAGGTACCTAACGTAAAAAACTTATTTGATACACACAGCATTAGGTAATACTAAGTTCAAATAAGTTTTTTACGTTAGATTTTCAATGTTTTGTTAAACATAGATGAAAAAAACTAGCTTTGTTTAAGAGAAACTATGTTTGATTAGTCCCTTGACTATATTAAAATCAAGATTGGCACAGTGTAATTATCCGAATGTTGGATAAAGCTCATATATAACATCAGAACAAAAAAGCGCTCACTTCACAAATAATGCGGTCCGCTTAAATTTAATTGTAATCTAATCTTATTTTGAAGCATATCAACGCCCCCGGATGGGAGAATTAGCTCGGCCCGTCTCCCAGGCAGACTTGCATCGAGACGACGGCTAGGCATTGTATTTTTATACCTGGACTACATCCAAATAGTACTCTTAGTGGTTTATCAAATATATTCTATGGTTCATTGATGAGCTTGTTCCAGTTAACTGTGTCGCAATGGACATTGAACTATTTTTAGCCGCTTTTATTTTTGGGACCACATTTTGTGTGTAAACATCTGGGCAGTTCCGATTGTTAGTTACGATTCAAGATTATGACACAGTTGGCGAAATCATACAAATAAGAAATGATACAAATAGTGTATCAGAAGTTCTTTCACAAAGGTTTTTATTAAATTTTTCAATTGACGCTCTGGACATAGACTGGCACAGGTAAGTGCGGTAGAAATTATTAACACACTCTGCATGCGACGAATCTCGTGACAGACTGATCGTAGTGCCTTCCATTTGATTCAAACAGTATATCATGTTCAACAATTATTCATGTTAATACTGCGGTCCCTTACAATTTAATTACATTGTTTCTTTTATTGAAATATTAGACATTCATTGTTTTAATTACAACGAAGCGTAGCAGGTGATAACAATATCATAGAGCGGACAAATAAAACTTTTCATTTTGAATGATTGAATGATTATCAAAATACTTACAGAGTGTGATGTAAACACTATTGTGTCCAGTTGGGAATTTGTGAGTGCGTGTCACTGGAAACTAGGCATCACTGTCACTGTAACTCACTGCGAGTTTGGGTTAAAAGACGTGCGGCGCGTTCGCCTCGGTCGCGACCACTGCCGTAATTTGCTACGTCTCGCGTGCTTTTAATTTCTACTAATATTAAGCAACGTTTGTCTAGCTTCTATTAATTATCAAATGTTAGACTCTTGCTATCTGTTTCTAAAGAGTAGGAACGCAGAAGAACGCAGAGCATTTAACACGTCTTCCAAAACTTTATGCTTAGTAATTCGTTTATCTTATCGACCACCGGTTACTTAAATGCAATTATTATTTTATAGCATCCTTACATCGATATTATTTGTTTATGATAAATTAGAGAAGGTTTATCGATTACAAGAGGACTGCAATAGACTTGTAGCAGTAGATATTAACTTAAACATACACGAGATAGTGCTTTGTAGTGCAAGCATGTATATTTGTAGACAAAATATAGCCATAAGTATTGGTCAAACTTTATTTTCGAGAACAGGTTGTAAGTTTAATTTTTGGACATATTTTTGCAAAGATCAGATTAGTAGAGCTAAATTATGTTAGTCTTTCAAAATACAGAAAAAACTTGTATTTTCTAAATTTAGTTACTTAACAATAGTGTTTGGAAAAACTTCCTAAGTACATGAATTTGTATTTAGGAAGCTTAACCTGTGAATGTTCCACAAATGGACACAGATCATTTATAGTTTAGACCAACACTTGCGGGCCCAATGTAGTTTTCAACATGTCTTAGCAGTTTTGTGAACTTCATCGGTTTCATTGAAGTAATTGTTTTTGTCTTACTGTAAAACAAGAAAGAAATATACTCAAGTAATATCTTTGACGAAAACAATTTCAGTATACATTACGCTCTACTTTACGGGTAAACGTAGTAGATACCCACAATGTGGAACGACCTGATGCAAATGGAGCGGTCAACGGTCACGACCTTTAAGCCCCTGTATAATGAGGCGAACCCTAATACTATAGAACGGTATACTGTGAGTTACATAATCTACTTATTGGATGTTACAGAAGATGATCTAATACAGTTCAATAGATGATCAACTTAATGAACGAACCTAATTAACTTATGCAAAATTATAGATTTTAATAAAGGAATAGTAAAGTTAACATTCGTGTAGTCAATAATATAGGTTATTTCTTTAAATTTTTACAAAACAGCTATTATCCAAACCGAACTTGTCAGTTCGTAAAGATTTATTCAAACCCGTTCAGTGCTTGCATGTATGGGAGATTCTTGTTTCGATTCCATGTTGGATCAATATGGCGGTTGGACATTTCTGTATTAGAGAATATTCCGTTTCTTTAGTGTTCATAGTATAGGGAATTCCCTAGTTTGAGACCAGGTTTAGGTGTGGTTGTAAGTTAAGACCAGAAAATAAAAGCCTTTAATGTAACGGACTTCATATTTTTCCAATATCGATTATTTATTATTTCCAATATAGTGAAAGGTGTGCTTAATTATGATTACTGGTTTGTGTGTCCCGTAACAATTACGATATTGAGCGAAATTGTTAATTACTTACGCTTCATTGTTTTGAAATAACGAAATATCTCGGTTCTTCAAACAAAATTTAAACTCTATTACCTAAAAGACAAAGGCTATAATATGTACTACCTAAACATTATCTTTGGTTTTAGTTAATAAACGATAATTGTTTTATAAGATCTTTCTTTGTTCTCTTTACATAGCATCAATCATTGCATAGATGAATCGTAAGTCCAATTATTATCGCCTTATATGTATGTAGGGTCGAGTCAGTGCTCTAGGACGTATTAAGTACTTTGGAATGTTTCTTGAAGATATTCCTTTTAATGACATCTTTGTGCTTAAGGGCGCATTCTGCTAATTTCAACGAGTTTGAATTAACCGTGGAAGATAGTATAAAACAGATTTTACCACCCAAAAAAACTATATTAGTATGTGGAGATTTCAATGTAAATCTGTTGAAAACTGTTCTACTTCTGTAAGACTTATTAATTTATTTAAAAGTTGTAACTTGATTAATCTTTTTTTGGAACCAACTCGCATCACGGCTTCCTCTTCTACTTGTATTGATAATATTTTTTGCAACACAGACGCAGTATCTAAATCAATCACAAATTGCTTAAGATCAAATCATGGTGGGCAATTGGCTACTTTTAATTGTAAAATGAGCAAGAAGGTAGACCAATTTCTCTGCCGACCGATTACCACAGAACGAATAATTAGATTTCAAAATAATATAGACAATAGTTTAAATGCCCTGCCCCATATACCGGAGGTTCCAAATATTTTATATAACACGACATTAACTTGTATTAAAAATGAATTTGATAATGTATTTAAACCGAAAGCACTAACTTTCCACAGGGAGACTAAATTCAATGACTGGGCAACAGTAGGCATTCATAAGAGTAGGTCTCGTTTGTGTGAGCTATACGCTATGGAAACTTATAATACTCATTCTAGTTTTATAGAACATGTTAAAAATTATTAAAAAATATTTTAAAAAGTGTGTGTAGCTGCTAAGGTTACATTTCACAGTGATAAAATAAAACAATCAAAAAATAAAACTAAAACTACTTGGAGTATGCAATAAAGAGTCAGGCATGGTTAAGCAACATGATAGAGACATAGTTCTAGAATCAGACGGCAAACTTATAAAATCTAAAGATGAGGTAGCACAAGCTTTTGAATCGTTCTTTTCGGAAATCGTCGTAAACACTACAGAATCATTAAATTCCTCTCCTTCTCTCGCTATTGATCTCCTAAAAAAAATGTTAATGGTCGGGCAGTGTATTTAATTTTCATCATGTTAATCCACAAGACATCATCAAAGCTTTTAAATCTATACGTGTTAAAAAAACTAAAAATTTTTGGGGCATATCGACTAAAGTTGTAGACTCAGTAATATATCTAATTTCCCCACATTTAGCTTAGGCATTCAATAGGTGCGTTGACGAAGGTATTTTTCCCGATTTGATGAAATACAGCAAGGTTATTAAAATCCTTTATTCAAAAGCGGTAGGAAAGTAGATCCTAGCAACTATAGGCTTTGTAATATAAACGTAACGGGACTTACTCGCGTAGTATTTTGTTCGACTAGTTTAGACCATAATCGATGGTCTTTTTCAGGGGTTGAGTGCAACGTTCGCGACCGCGTCACGTCTAGCATTGCGAGTTGCGGCTCTTTGCAAGCGCGCCGATGACGCAGTCCGCAGTGGGGGACTCGGAGGGCGGATACGTTGCGTCAGCGCGTCCTGGAACTCTTCTTTGCTACTGCTGTCCATAGGATTGTTGTCGGGAACAGTCCAGCACACAGAGCTCACCACGTCGTTACTACTAACATCTGCAGCTGCATACCGAGCGCCAGGTCGGTGGCAAGCTCCAGCCTCCGTCTCTATTAAAATTTGGTCGCCTACTTATTTCAATAGCCTCTCGGATTTTGCGGGGCACAAAATACTTCTCCCGCGCTAAAACCTTAGCTTTATCAAACCGAATGTAATGACCAGCACCGGTGCTCAGAAAGTGGTCTGCCACTGCAGATCCATTGACATCTTGATTCTTCATGGATCGGATATGTTCACTAGCCTAGTAGCCACGTTCTCTCTCGTTTCGCCGACGTAACACTTGCCGCAGTCACAGGGAACTATATAGATACCGAGGACCCCCAGAGGGTCTCTGTCCTTTGGAGAGCGAAGCAATTGTCGCAGCTGTGTTGTGTGCAGTTGTTGTGTGACAGTGGTACCTATAAAAAAGTTACCTATAACCCTACCAACACAGTGACCAATGGGCAGAATAGGTTACTAAAATCTCTACCGGATTACCTTTTATACGACATCCTACGTCCGCTTAACCCCACACCACCAAAGATCTATGGGTCATCACATTAACTATGATAATATTAACGGTACCCTTTCAAAGGTAGTTTATTGGTTTAATGTTAACAATTGCTCTATGGCAAGAAGACAAAGTGTGTTAAATTTAAATTAGCTAATGTAAAATCAACTAGTCTAATCATAGAAATAAATGGAGACAAGTTAGGCTTTGTTAATAAAGCTGTCTTTTTAGGAGTGACCTTGGACGATAAACTTCAATGGTTTCCACATATATCTTCCTTAGCCTGCAAATTAAGCTCTGCTGCATACGCAGTCCGTAGAATATTTGAGCTTACCGATGTTGCTACTGCTAGACTAGTTTACTTTAGTTACTTCCATAGTATAATGACCTACGGGATTCTCATATACAAACCGTATTTGTGTTGCAAAAACGAGCTATTCATTCTGTGTATCGTTTAGGTTGTCGGGTTTCTCTCAGAGAAAACTTTAAGGAGACTGGTATCGTGCCTGTGGCATCGCAGTACATTTACTTAAATATTTTGTATGCCCGTAACAATATACACAAATTCATTAAGAAAGAAGATATTCATATTAACCTTAGAACTAAGTCCAAAGTCATGGTACCCTTATGGTACCACGATTTCGTTTAACTAAGGTAAACGATTCATTTATGGGGATCTGTATACGTTTTTACAATAAGATTCCGAAGAATATGTTAAGCTTATCATTTCCTAAGTTTAGAATGTAAGTACATTAGAAGTATTTTAATTGAAAAGTCATATCACGAAATTGAAGAGTATGTTTTAGATAAAGAAGTATGGAAAGACAACAAGGGTCTAGATTCCACACAATTATGATTCAAAGTGTATTCCATATCATTTAAGTTTATTTGAAAAGAGCAATCTTTTAAATCTTTCTTCTCAGGGAGGTCAGCGTAGGGAACGAGCAGCAGCCTAAAAAGTACATAGCTTTTAAAATGACGTTTTCAAGTGTAAATATTTTACCTATGGAATAAATGATTATTTGACTTTGACGTTGAATTTATTCGATACAAATTTCATCGCGCTTACCCCGCACGGTCGCCGAGCGGAGTCCGCGTTGCCGCCGCGCAGCGACCGCGTGCGTCTAACTGTCATGGCAAAATACGCTCTATTATTCAGCTTTTTGCGAGTCTGGCTTGAATTTGGTCTACATGGCCGCCCGCGCGGCGGCCCGGCGGCGGCGGCCTCGCGGTTGTA